GGAGCGGCGGCTGCGGCTGGGGCTGCGGGCGGGCGGCGCGGCCCGGTGAGCACCGGCACCGGCACCGACCCGCCGCCCGGCCCTGTCCTTTCCTCTGTCAGCACCTGCCCTTGTCCCCCTGACCCTCGTCCCCTCTCCCTTGTCTCCCGTGTCTCTCATCTCATTGTCGACCTGTCCTCCTGTCCCCTTGTCCTCCCATTCCGTCTTGTCCATCATCCCCTGTCCCTTGTCCTCTCGTCGCCCTTGTCCCCATCTCATTGTTCCTTTGTCCCCCTTTCCCCCAGCCCCTCGTCCTCCTGCCGCTCATCTCTGTGCCCTGTGTCCCACTGGTCCGCCATGCCCTCGATCCTCTTGTCTCCCTATCCCCTGTCCTCTTCTCACTTTGCCCTCCTTTCCTCCAGCCGCGTTGTCCCCCATGCCCCTGTCCTCAATCTCATTGTCCCTCCATCCCTCCAACCCCCTGTCCTACCCTCCCTGCTCTCCTTCCCCTCTGTCTCCTTCATGCCAGGTCCCCCAAGTCCCCCCCACCCCGCAAAGCAGCCCCCTCCCAGCTCCCGCGGCGGGCCGATGTCCCCTGTCCCCAGATCCCCACGCAGGGACCCCCGGCCGGGCCTCGAGGGGGTTGTTTACCCCGGTGCCGCAGTTAATGCGTTACCAGCCGCCGCGCGGCCGGCCAAGGTCCAGCCGCGGGCCCCGAGGTGGCTGCTGCCACCGCTGCCACCGCAGCCACCGCCGTCACCGCCGCGCCCAGCGCTGCCTGCCCGAGCCCATGGCCGCTTCCCCCCGCCGGGCCACGCGCAGCCGCCCCCGCGCCGGGAGCCCGGGSTGACGGCGGTGACAGCGGCGGCCGTGGCGCAGGGGCTACGCGGGGGCGGCCGAGGGCAGCTGGCTGCGCTCGCTCTTCGTGCACAAGGTGGATCCCCGCAAGGACGCGCACTCCAACCTGCTGGCCAAGAGGGAGACCAGCAGCCTCTACAAGATCCAGTGTGAGCCCCGCGGAGGGGACGGGGACAGGGACGGGACGGGGTGGGGGGCACAGCCGCCTGCCACCCCCTCACCCGCGCCCTCCATCGCRCAGTTCACAACGTGAAGCCCGAGTGCCTGGACGCCTACAACAGCCTGACGTGAGACCCCCGTCCCCCTGTGTKCCCTTCCTCGGGGACACGCGGCTCCCGGGGGCCCCAGGCCGGTCCCCGGGCACGCTGCGAGCGCCCGGTCGCCCCCAGGGAGGAGGCGCTGCCCAAGCTGCACGAGGACGCGGACTATCCGTGCGCGCTGGTGGGCAGCTGGAACACCTGGTACGGCGAGCAGGACCAGGCGGGTGAGCCCGGGCTGTGCGGGAGGACAGGGGCGAGGCGGAGCCGCGGGCGGCTGCCGTGGCGCGGGGCGGGCGCCCGTGGCAGCGCGGGCCGCCTGTCCCCGCAGTGCATCTGTGGCGCTTCTCCGGCGGCTACCCGGCGCTCACCGAGTGCATGAACAAGCTGAAGCAGAACCAGGTGGCGAGCGGGCGGGCGCGGGGGGCGGCGCGTGGCGGGGGTGCCGCCGGGGCGCGTGTCACCGCCCGCGCCGCCGCCCGCAGGACTACGCCGCCTTCCGCCGCGAGCGCAGCCGCTTGCTGCTGGCGCGGCGCAACCAGCTGCTGCTCGAGTTCAGCTTCTGGAACGAGCCCCTGCCCCGCCGCGGCCCGCACGTCTACGAGCTGAGGACCTACAAGCTCAAGGCGAGTGCGGCGGCGCGGGGCGGCGCGCGGGAGCGAGGGCGGCCGCTCATGTCCGGCCCCCCGGCTCCTGCCTTTGCAGCCGGGGACCATGATCGAGTGGGGCAATAACTGGTAAGGAGCCGCCCCCGCCCGGCCTCCGCTTCCCCCAACCTCCCTGCCCCGATTTCCCATCCCAGCCTCGGTTTCCCTCAGAATCCCTGCTTCATTTCCCCCTCCTGCCTTTCCCTATCCCCCCCTGCCTCCTCCTGCCCAGTCCCTGCCTCAGTTCCCCACGGTTCTTGCCCTGGTTTCCCGATCCCAATCCCTGATTCAGTTTCCTCCATCCCAATCCCTGCCTCAGTTTCCCTCCCCTATCCCATCCTCTCGGGTCCCTCTCCCTTCCTCAGGTCACCCAAGTGGCCACAGACAGACAGGGGTGGGAGCTCCCAGTCCCCCCCCCAGCAATTCTTCCCCCCACCCTGCCTGTCCCCATCCAGGGCTCGTGCCATCAAGTACCGGCAGGAGAACCAGGAGGCCGTGGGCGGCTTCTTCTCCCAGATCGGCGAGCTCTACGTGGTGCATCACCTGTGGGGTGAGTGGGCGCTGGGGGCACCCATGGGTGCAACTGCGTCCGCGACACCCTGCCACCCCCCAACTTGTCCCCATAGCCTACCGGGACCTGCAGTCGCGCGAGGAGACGAGGAACGCGGCCTGGCGCAAGAGCGGCTGGGACGAGAACGTCTATTACACGGGTGAGCAGGGCACGGGGCACCCATGGGTGCTCGGCYGGGGGGGACGCCTGCGGTGACATCCCCCTGCTGCCGCTGTCCCTGCAGTGCCGCTGATCCGCAGCATGGAGTCGCGCATCATGATCCCCCTGCGCATCTCACCCCTGCAGTGAGGGGCGCCCGGCCCCGCATCACCGATGCCTCCGATGTCCCCAACGTCCCTGCGGGGCACCCGGCTCCTCTCCTCCCCGGAGCACCCAGTGGGGACTCCACATGGGGCTGAGGACACCCCATGGGTGGGGGGAGCTTGGGATGCCCCATGGGGGATGCACCCTGGGGACACCCGTGGGGCACGGGATTGCGGGACACCCGGTGGGAGCCGGGGGCTGAGGACAGGAGCTGGGGATGCTCCATGGGGACAGGACCCAGGGACACCTGGGGGGTGGGAGCTGGGGAGGCCCCAAAGGGGAAGGGCTGGGGCTGTTCCGCATGGGCAGGGACTGGGAGACACCCCTTGGGGACAGGAGCTGGGGGGCACCCCGCAGGAGGTGGGATCCAGAAGGACCCTGGGGACAGGAGTCGCGGTGCCCCGTGGGTGCCCCCCGCCATGGGCATTTTGCAGCCCGAGGAGGTGACAGCAGTGGCCAGAGGTGGCAGCGGTGGCCGCGCGAGGCCGGTCCCCTGCTGCCACCCCCGCCAGAGGCCGGTGCCAAGGACCGCGGAGCAGCCCTGGGGCCGGGCTGCACCCATTAAATGTCCGATGCACCCCTGGGTGGCCTTGTGTGTGTGTGTGGGGGCACGGGTCGTGTCTGGGGAGGGGGCAGCGTGGACGGGCCCCCCAGGACCACGGGGACCACCCCAAGGAGCTCCCGAGCCCATGGGGGCCCCTGTACATCCCCCTCTGCCCAAGGCACCCTATTGACAATGGGTGCCTTCACCCCAGGGACCTCCTCCCTGTCCATGGGTGCCCCATAACTACAGCCCCCCCAAAACACCAAGGGGTGCCAAAGGAGACCCCCCACTCTGAGGAGCACCCCCCATGCCCGTGGGGGCCCCC